ATTTCGAAGTTGTTTTTCATGAAATCTTACATGCAAGTTCATGTTTTAATTGTAGTCCATGAATTCATCGTGTTTTTCCATCAAATTGCCAATTTAATCTTGATTTGAGCTATTGGAATTTAAAGGAGATCATGCATGTTGTGTTTTTGTTTTGTTCTTGAAATTTGGGTTGAAATTGTGTTCAATTGGCTTACCTTTGGGCTTGATTTTACAAATTGATCTTTAAAGACATGTTATATTGTTGGTTTTCAAGTGTTTTCCAGAAAATTGGCCCAAAAGGTTGAGTTTTGAGGTGTTGAATGCTTGGTTTGAGCTTGGGAGGCAAATCTGGAAATTCCAGATTTTGGCTTTCACGCTCGAGTGAGCCCCTGTGTATTCAGAGATCCGCTTGAGCGACGGAATATTGGCTCGGGCATGAATTGCAAGCTCTCAGGTTTTTGGTGCACGCAGACGCATGCTCGAGCGAGAGAACCTACGCTCGAGCGAGGACTGTGTCTCATGCTCGAGCGAGCGTCGAGCGGAGATCTTCAACATCCAGCACTTTTTGCATTTTTACAGACCGCTCGAGCGAGGAAGTCCACGCTCGAGTGACCCCACTGTTTTGACAAGCTCGCTCGAGCGAAGAAAGCCACACTCGAGTGAGACCTCTATTTTCTGAAAATTTTGAAAAGTGTTTTAAAGTACATCTTTGCATCCTCATTTCATCCTAGGCATTCCTAGGCCTAGTTTAAGGCATCTTAATGAGGCTATTGATGTAGAACCACACCGAGTCAAGATAGGGACTAAGTTGTTGATTCCCAAGTATGTAACTTAGTATGTGTTCGTTCTGTAACTGTGTAGGGTTGGCATCTGAGGACGCTCATTAGCTGCCTATAGCCCAGTGCTCTGTAAGTAACAATGTTGTAAAGATATGTTCAATCATGAATATTTTCTGAATGATCTATTGTACTGCTTTCTGAAATGATACTTCTTACTGAATGAATGTTTATCCTATTTGTGCACTGAATTCGTGGCATCCATAGCAATCTACTGTTACTGCTATTGTTACAGAGATCTCTGTCGGTTCCCATGTTTGAAACCATTACTGTTTACTGTTATGATGGCCATCAACTGACTGTTCGGTCTGTTAAGACCTACTGTACTATTTTGCTATGGGATGTACCACATATGACCATTATGGTTTCTAAATGATTGTTTTAAATACTGAAAGAACATTCATTCTTAACCCCTTTACGCATATGTTATTCACTGGGCTTTAGCTCACTGTTTATATTTATATGTAGGTGTCCAAGCACCGGACCGGAGCTAGGAGCGTCGGGTTAACTCCTTTTTTGTCAAGCCAACCATTGTGCCTCACATCGAGGTTCCAAGTCTGACCGAGCTAAGGCTGTTTTAGGGTGTCTCAGTTTCACCATTCCGTCTCTGTTTTGTAATACTGTTTAAGACTTGTACTGTACTATGCTAATTAGGGATTTGGTCCCTAACCTAAATGTTTGTACATATGGTGTATATATGTTTTGCTTATGAATGTGAATATGTTCGGAAAAGTCTTTTTGCATACAGACTGTCACAGCTCATTGGACATCTTTTATTACTATTTTGGCTTCCGCCAGCCCCTCTACTCTGCATTACTGTCTTTACTGTTAAGCAGGCCATCGGTAATCACGGATTACTGGCCGGTTACGGTGCTAAACCCATAGGGGCGGGTTTGGGTCGTGATAGCAAGTAAAAGAATGGGATAGAAAGAAGCAAGGTGGAGAATTATCACAACACTTGAAAGAATAATTACAAACCAAATTAGAGAGAGATGAGGAGACTATTATATCAAAATAAAAACTTCACAACACACTCAAAATAAAATAAAAAAAAAGAAAAAGCTTCATATGCTTTGGAAACCACTGGAAGTTGGTTAACATCGGAAGACAATGTTGTCTTGTCTAAAAGAAGCTAACCGGGCGGCCAGATGGGCCGGCTGGCCAACTAGGCCTAGCAAAACCTGCCTTATTACAAAACCAAGAAAATGAACAAACAAGAAATATGTAAGTGACTCAATTAACCACTACCGATTAGATTAAAACAAGAAAACAAACATAAAATAGAAAGTGCAAAATTACAACAAAACTAACATGAACCTAAGATAAGAAAATAAATATAAGATAGAACATGTAAAATTACAACAAAACTAATATGAAACTAGAGCAAGCGAATAAAATGAATAAATAAATAAATAAATAATTATGAGCTAAACAAACCACTTGGATTACAATAACACACTATGAAATATAAAGTAAGAAAATAAATATGAGATAAACAAACTATTTGGATTATAACAAAACACTATGAAATAAGAAGTAAGAAAATAAATATGAGATAGAAAATATAAGAAAATAAAAGACTAGAAATTCACATTCCAAAGAAAGATTGAATTACTTGATTTTCAAACTTCCTCTCCATCTCCCTCAAGTTTAAGAAGTGTGTTCTCAATCCTCAATTCGAAACTAGAATGGAGCTTTAGGTATGTGTGGTGGAAAAGTGGCTAACTCTTTTATTTTTCCTTACTTTCAACAACACTCACTACAACACTCATTCTTTCCTTTGATTAATCACTACTAAAATTTAGCTATTTCAGAATTTTAGGAGATGTTTTGGATGTATAAAAGGTGGAATTTCAGTGTGTAAAAGTCATGAAAGGTGTATATGGAAGATGTAAGTGTTTTTGACTCAAAACTTGAATTTTTTCTTTTTTTTCTCACTCTTTTCTCTTCAATTTCATGGTCCTTCCCCTCTTTTACAATCTGATCATTCTGTATAGGCAATGAGGGAGAGTTAAGGTCAAAAAGAAGGTGAGAGATAAGGTGGGAGACAAGAATGTGATAGGAAGGTAAATTTTCAAGGTGGTTGCACGGGATACTCCTTTATGGATGCAAATAAAATCTCTTTTTGATAATGAGGGATAATTAGGTATGTATTTTGTAATATATGGGTCAGCCAATGGGGTAGGGGAGCATCCTACACATAAGAAAAAAAATGTAAAAATATACATTCTCTACCTGTTGGTTTGGAGTGGTCTAATATTATTTGAGGGGAAATATAACATAAGACAAGGCTTTGGCAAAGTGGTTAAGGTGTTAGGTGTTGAATAGTAGGTTGGGTGTTCAAACCTCCTTCTAAGCATTCCTTAAATTTATTTTTTTGAGTAAAGACATGTCAGCGCCACATCATCGGTAAAGACCAATCCATGAATTTGAGTAAAAACATGTTAGCACCACATCATCGACAAAGACCAATCCAGTCATGCCACGTCAGCAAGACCGCCACATCAGCATTTCGGCATATGGATGGAATATTTCCTGACTTTAACAAAATATTCCATGAGTTTTGAAAATTATAATTTGGCCCAAAAGTTTCAAATATTTGTGCTGTAACCCAAATTTTAGGAGAATTTTTCAGTGAAACCCCCAGAAGTGCAGTGAAGGTTGATTCTACTAAATGAACCATTCTAGACGCAACCGTGAGGTCAGAATATTCTCTTGGAAAGGTAATTTGTGGCTGTTTAGGGTTGGAAACATGGCTCAAATCCTAAGTTTTCTTATTGAGGATTCTGTGAGAAACACCTTCTTGTTTTGTAATCATAGGGTAATCAAAAGAAAGCATCCAAGTCTTAGGGCCGGTCAAAATAGAATGTCTACAATACTATATATTACAGTAAAGGAACATTTGAAACAAAATTCTTAAACTTATATATAAAATTTTGTTTACGAGAGATAAAATACAAAAAATTAAATATAATTATCATATTTTTAATAAATAATATATTATTTTATCCCGTGCATAGCACGGGTGACATACTAGTTTATCTTAAAGAGTGTGTAATGCATTAGATCTAAGGAAAAATTTTATTTGGTGATAAAAACAAGCTGAAAAGTTATTGAAAAATTCAGCACTGGCGGCAATAGGTGGTGGTGGTGAGTTAGAGAAAATGTGTAATATTTAACAAATAGGATATTGAATGAGTAATATGTTTCACGTTTCAACATATAGTTAGTTTAATGAATTTAAACAAATAGATAAATAGGGTTGACGAATTTCAAGAGATAGATAAATAAGGTAATTTTAATAGATAAGTTGATTTGATTTTAGCAGATAGTATCATTCAGGATAAATTGTGTACTTTTAGGCCGATATTAACCCAAGGCTAAACATATCCTTAACCTATAAAAATTTAAATTAAAATTAATTGAAAGGAATAACATGCACGTGTATATTTATATTCTGAGGTACTTAAACAGCACCGTTGCGTACATGGCAGTACCGAAAATTGCTTTTTAGTGATGTTGAGAATACAATGATGAACACTATCTGAGAATAAAATTCAAACAAATCGTGTTCGTATAAAGTGAAAGCTCGTGAAGATAACAGTTCTGTAAGAAATTCAAAATTCCATTTTTTAAAAAATGGAAAATTATCACTTAGTGGTACTTTAAAAAAAATTATTATACATTCATAAAAAAATTTAAGATTCTGATTATTAATGTTTCCAAAGTTTACTATTGATTTGTATTTTTTTTTAAACTTACACTAAAATTGATTTTGCTAATCAAAAAAATAAAATAAAATGAAAAACCTCTGAATTCTGCATGCTAAATTTCTTTTCTGATATGGTCACAAATGAACACTTGATTCTTGATATTGAGATCTTTGAAAAAATCAAGATTCGCCGATATTAAATTCATTCATCCATTAAAGATACTTTGATCCTAACGAAATGACTCTTCAAAATTTCATACATGAATTCAGGGTTTCAATTTATGTAATATAAACACTAAAATCACGACCAGTCCTTAAAAAGGGTGGGCATCTATGAGAGCCACAGATGGAACCTCTCTTAACACTGAAATGGAAAAAAGTTCTAAAGTCTTCGAAATATGACTTTAGCTTTTGAAAAAAAAAATGCTACCTTCACCACATGAACAAGAGAATTTATTCTTTTCTGAATATATATATGTGTGTGTGTTAATTATAATGAAAGCATTAATAAATCTATCAATCCCAGATCGATTTTGCAATCCTTAGAGAGTCTTCAGTTGGAGAGGTAGCCATGGTTAGAACTGGGGTCACCAAAACACCCATGATATTGCTTAGGTGATTTTATTGTTATGATTATTCACTTAATGTCGATTAACATCACATAAAATAATATTATCGTAACATTGAATATTTGTTTCTATGATTTTATCTCAACTATATCAAGATTGGACAAGTTTCTTGGTTATTCACTTTGCTCTTTTTGGAGTTTTTATTTTTTAAATTTAGTTGAGTTGGTTCATTTCTATTATGGTATGTGGTGTCTCATATTTGGTATTGATGTTAGCTTATAGCTAACTTTTATTGGTCAGTGCTATAATCTCCTGCCAAATCTAAATTAAACACATGATTTTCTTACTTATAATTTTAATTTGAACCATCGTTTTGTGTAACGGTAATATCTTTCTATAGTTAATACAATTTTGCAAATAAAATTAAGTGGATAAAAAAATTAGTCCAATCCTAATGTAATGATTAGTGGGTTTACGTGTTGTTAATATCGCCATATGATATATTAACTCATTTAACTCACGTTATTGTGCTCAAGCCAAATCAAACTCAATTTTCGGCTTGAAATTATTAATGTTTTTATGTTTCACGTTGTTCTATGCATATTTACATGCATACGGAGATAATATGACAATAATATATGTGGACATCTCTTATCTCTTAATAACTTTACTATATATTTTTAATTACATAATATGAGATTTCTCACTAGTTAATAATGCTGTCTCTATTGAATTGCTCCCCCTAATCCTACGTTGGGGTGACTTTTGGTTCATGTAGGGCACATAAGCCAGCTGGACGACACACGAGTGAGCTTTCCAAGACAGATCAAGTGGCAGAGAAACATCAAGGATCGATCAAGGGTTACAAGAAGGCTAATCCATCATGTTGGATGCCACATCCTCGCACCGGAATATACTTTCCGGAGGGTCATGATCATGTAATGGACGGTGTTTCAGAGAGTGCAGCCTCTTTTGATCAGACCTATTGGCTGAGGAACGTTGATGGAGTTGACAAACCTGACCATGATGAATGCTATTTTCATCCAAGTCTGTGACTGAAACAGAAATAATGCGTTGCTTTGATTATCATTTGATGAGAATGAAATATAATTGTGATCTCAGCTCCTTGCATAGCTACTTCATTGTAATAACAAACTTAATATTAGAAAGGTTTGGATGCTTTGATATAATGATCAGTTTTGATCAATATAATGTGCATACAATGTTTTTTTTTTTTTTTTGGTGGGCCCATTTTTGCAAAGAGTACAAATTTTAGAGTGTATTAATTACAACAAAACTTTCTCAACTGCTAATGAAAATCAATATGCACAATTTCTCTATTTATATGATTTGTAGTTGAGAATTAATATATACCAGTTCACAGATATATTAATATTTATCAATAACTAAAGAAGCTTTTGCGTAGTTAAACCTTATTTGATTTGGAATTTCTAAAAATAATTTTTAAGTTTTCAATTCATTTTTTTTTTCCAGTAATTTTTTTTCATATTTAATTATTTGTTTTAGATACACCTAATAAATACAAAAAAATATTAAATATTTTTTATATTTTATATTTTAAAAAAAAGTATAAAAATTTATTTTTAAAAAATATATTTAGATTAAGTAAAGTTAAAATATAAAATATTAATTAATAATTAAAAAAATACAAATTAAAAACTGAAAAATGTCTCGTAGCTCAAATTTTGTGGCTCAAAATATAAAATATTAGATTATGTTGTTTTGTACTCAAAACGACGTCGTTTTGGCCATTTGAACCACTTTTGAGCCACAAAATTTGAGCTACGTAGCATTGTCGTTAAAAACTCAATTTACTACGTCTCCAACGTTTATTCTTTTTTTTCATTAAATTTAAATTTGATGAAAGAAGTTCAATTTTGGCGCTTCAACATTAACATCAAATCAATATCAAATTGAGAATTTTTTGAACTTTTCATCAAATTAAGAATGTCTGAAATCTTTTATCAAATTATTGTAAATAGTCTTTAGTACCATACACCGGACGACCAATCGATTGTACTCCTAAACAACCTCTTTTTTACTTTAAAGTTCTAATAAATTTACACTAATTGGTCGACCGGTCAGACATCCTCTTGGTCATCCTTCCAATTGATCGGTGATTTAATGAAAAAAAAATATATATTTTTTTGTGGAAATGTTCAATATCAACTAAAATTTTTATTTAAATTTAATAAAAAAAAATGAAAAATAAATAAACGTTGAAGATGTGGTTAGTAGTTCTAATAAAGTTCTAATAAATTTTTATTTTTTTTGGCAACATGGTTTGTAGTCACTTTTTTTGGTTAGTAGCAAAAGCCAAAAGTTAGTTTTTTTGTCTTTTTTTTCATTTGGAATGTTGGTTTTTAGCCAACGGTGAAATTACAATTTTACTCCTCATGGGTCAAAATGTGTTACATAAGTGAAATTGTAAATATTTTAAATAAATAGGGATAGTTTGGTCATTTTATTATGATTTGACATAATAAACAAACATTAATCAAAAAAGTCAAAAGTCACTTTTTATCAACTTTCCAAATCATTTATCTGAAAAAACTAAAAACTTAGTTAAAAACTAAAATATTATTTTTTACCATCTTCCCAAAACAACCCAAAACAATTTTGCAACACGCACTGCAAGGCGTATGCGAAGACCACAACCGGTCGTAAAAGTTGAAAACTTGGGATGACGAAGAACCGACACGTTTTTTTTTTTATTTTACCTCTTTCGTCATTGCTTCATTCTCCCTCTCTCTCCTCCTCTTCAACACTGAGCAGTTCCAATTTACCAACCGTGTTTTTTGAATTTTTATAATTTTTTATTAGATTAAATATATTTTTTAATGTTTAGAGTACGTTTGAATTTTTATAATTTTTTATTAGGATTAAATATATTATTAAGTGTTTGGAGTACGTGTGGACTTAAATTTTGATTCTTAAGATTATCTCCTACCTTTCACCAAACTTAGCATCAAATTTAAAATTTGATGAAAAAAATACTATTTGAAGCTCTAACGATTTTATCAAATTGATATCAAATCGAGAATTTACCAAACGTTTCACAAAAAGAAGAACAGGCTCCGCATTTCATCAAAACACTGTGTATGACCGTTGGGAGAGACTAACCGGTTGACCAACCGATCGACCACCAAAAGGTTCCAAAAAAAGTTCAAACAATTGAAAAAAAAAAAAAAATTTTTTTTGCCTTACCGGTAGACCAGCCGGTCAACCGGTCAACCACTAAAAGGTTCAAACAGTTCAAAAAAAAAAAATTCAAAAAAAATTAACAAAAAAAATTGGCTTAACCGGTCGACCACCCGGTTGACCGGCCGATCAACCAATTGGTTATCCCGGCATAGATTTGATGAAAATTTGACGAAAATCAACTGTTAGAGCACTCGATATCAGATTGAGGAAAAAGTCATTTTTTTATTCAGATTTGATGAAAATTTTAATTCAGAATTAGAGATGCTCTAACATAAATGAATAAATATTTTTTACAGATATATTATAAGTGTTAAGGACAATACATTAGGCCAACCTATCAACCTATCTATTTTTTTGAATAATAAAAAGAACAGTCTCAATTTCAAATTTCACCTCTGTCTCTCTCTCTCTTTTCGTGGAAGGTTTCTTCATTCTCTATATCTCTAAAAACTTTCAAGTTGGTTTGATTTGTGTTTTGAAATAAATTTTAAAAGAAAATTTGAAAAGAGAGTTTAAAAATTTATTTAATTGTATATTTTAAAAATAGTTTTGAAATTTAAAAATTTGATATAATTTGATATGTTGTTAGAGCAACTCCAACCACACTCTCTACTTTTCACTAGCTAAAATATAAAAAAGGTACACTCTTTATTTTACCTAATTAGTTTAGCTATTGTGTTCTCCAATCACGCTCTTTATTTTAGCTAATCATTTAAACTAGGACAAATTACACTAACAATCCCTATAGTTTGGGACTCGTGTCACTTTGGTCCTTGACTTTTCAATTGTGATATATTTGACCCTGAATTTTGAATCTTGTTCCAAATAAGGAAAATTGAAAATACCATTGTTTAATTTCAAGGGCAAAATTGTCAATTTAATAAAATATAAACTAATTTGACAAAAATGTCAAAAAAATATTTTGAATTTTTTAAAAATTATTTTTATCCACCAATGATAAAATTATGTAAAATTGATAAAAATTAATAAAAATTACATGATTAATTTTTAAAAATTAATTTTACATGATCATCATCCAAACATATAATAAAAATTAATTTGGTAAAAAAATAAATAAATGTCTAAAAGATTTAGGGCAAATTACATATACACCCCTCCAGGTTTGACAAAATTACAGATACCCCCCTGAGGTTTGAGAAATTACGAATTCCCCCCTGAATGCTATATTTGCATAAGAAATTAGGGGGTAATTTGTTATGAAATATAAACCTCAGGGGGTAAATTGTTATGAAAATACAAACCTCAGGGGGCGGGATGTAATTTCCGAAATCTCAGGGGGTATCTGTAATTTAACCAAACCTGGAGGGGTGTATATGTAATTTGCCCAAAGATTTATCAATTTTACATAATTTTATTTTTAGTAGGTAGAAATAATTTTTAAAAATTTAAAAATACTTGTTTGACATTTATTTTTGTCAAATTAGTTTATTTTTTTATCAAATTGACGATTTTGCCCTTGAAAAATCTAATGATATCATCTTCAATTGTCTTTATTTGGAACAAGATCCAAAATTTAGTGTCAAATGTGTCACAATTGAAAAATCAGGGATCAAAGTGACACAAACCCCAAATTATAGGGACTATTAGTGTAATTCACCCTTTAAACTAACTTAATTAATTTTTAAAATAAAAAAATACTAATTGTTAATATTTTACTAATATAAATTTGCAATAATAATAAATTTGACAATTTTTATTACTACATTTTGTTGGTTATTTTCTGTATATAATAATTAAATGGGCTAGTTTATTATAATTTTAGAAATCTGATTCCAGGGGTTGTTTTTCTGTTTTAGTGGAAAGTGAATGCATATTACATGAGGTAATTAACATATAGTTTGGACTTGTAATACATCAGCTAATACTGTTCAATATCGGTCCATATATGATCATATTACATATACAAATACATATCCTGATATCATTATTATTTAGAACCATGCACTCAAGTTGAAGATTAAATTATGTCAGTTTTATTGCCGACAAAATATACCCCACTTTTATGGCCAATAGGATCATTTTAGGTTCGTTTGGGAAGTGATTTTTTGCCCAAAATATGAAGTGAATGCATAGAAAGTGTTTCGGAATAGCTTCTTGGATTTTTAGGAAAAAAAGTGCAAAAAATTTGAGAAAAGAAGGAACCTTTGACCTTTTTTTTTTTAATATATGACTTGCTTTTTTAATGGTTTTTTTTGGCTAAAATCTAATCTTCCCAAACATGGCAAGACAAACAAAAATCCCATGAAGAATGGCCTGAGCAGCAATGGATGATGAGGTGGTCCACTCGACTGCGTTGCTTATAGCTCTAGGTGATTAGGGATTGTCAACAGATTGTCAAACATATAAAGTTGAGACCTTCGATTGATCTCACAGCATTATATTGTGTTCTGTTTACAAGCCAACTTAGGATCTAGGAAACAAGCTAAAAGATAGATTCTGCTAGGAATTTTTATGGAAGGAACACATGTTTATTTGTGCTTGCCCTTTTTGGATGCACTCTGTGGCATGGCAAATTGAGAACATGCTTTGAGGCCATTTTGATGATCGTGTTACATGACATCCCTTACATCCAGCTGCAAATGAATACAAAATGATTGGGACAACAATCTATAAAGTCTTCTTGTAACACAACAAGTCCAATTAAAATCTGTGTCCATTAATTGCTTATTTCATGTCTTGGCTCATTTTAGGAAAAGCTCTTAATTGTGAGTTGGCTTGCAGTGTGAGCCATTGCATGCAAAATATCCCATTGAATTTTGTTCAAATCTTACCAACATTACATGAAAAGAAAATTAATGAATAAATAAATAACTACAATGAAAGCTTTGAAACTTGAAGCTTTGTAGATTTCTCTCTTGAGAAGACTATGAACTTGGGCAAACTTCTTGTTGCAGGTAGTTCAATCTTACCACCCAGGAAGCCTCAACTGTTATTAAGTACAGCTTTCCCCAATTCCTAGTATTCCTCTCCTGGTAGGATTGAGTTCAAGCCAAAGAATGCTTCAATATTTTAATGCACTCTAGATATTTCTTGGCTGAATGTGTATTTTGTACCAAAACCAGTAACAGAGCTTGAGACAGGCCCTGGGGGAGGAAGAGTGATTGGACTCTGCACGATTTTGATAGTGCGTTTTGTAATCTTATCCTTAATTTTTTTATTTTTTTTTGTGGGGTAACATATCCTTAAAATTTGGCATATATCAGAAACATAGGAATTAGATCTGGCCCAGCTTGGAAACATAAGATGATTCCTGTGTAATAAATCAAATGTGCTGGAAGTTGGCCTAATTTGGTGATTTAAACCATTTAATTATTACCAGTCTTTTGAGTAGTAAAAGCTTCACAAGATCTTTCGGAAAGAGAAAAATATTTGAATTAGGATATGAAGTTCATATGATCTTTGCTAGAGGCTCCATATATTCATATTCCTTTCTTCCCGAGTTTGGAGTCAGATAGAATGCTAGAATTTTATTGCAACTGCATCATCAGCTCAATTGTTTGTTCACTTGACCCTTGTTTTTTTCTTTCTTCTTCTTTTTTTTTCCCCCTTCACATTATTGATGCTCTGGGTGTTTGTTATTTCTATCACACTGTTAGATTCTATTTTAAGGGGTGGGAAATTTCTTCAGGAAATTACCTCAGGCTCTAACTCTTAGAATGCATATACTTGTGGTGTCCTACTGTTCTTTAATTTGTTTCACTTTTGATAATAATATTTATGTAGTTTCTGTTGATACCTCGTTTTGACAATTTCTCTGCAAATAAATAAAGCTATCAATCATTGACTGTGAGTTGTTTGGAGGGAACTAGCCATCTATCTCTGTGCTCTTCTTTTTTCACATTTTGGCATGCTCAGGAGCATGATACAGTTCAACATGATGAAGGCAGCAATCAATCTTCTTCTGGAAACACTATCAATTTGGAAAATCTAGGTGGTATACACCATACCCGGAGATTCAGTGGGAATGAAAGGCTACCTGGAGCTGTACTACTTGCAAGGGAAAGGCTTCTTGAAAGATTGAGAGGTGTATCTCTATCCGAAAACAGGTTGGTATGCAAATTTGAAATTTGTTAATCTTGTTTCTCCACTCGTATTTGGGTTTCTGGCATAATCATTCATAGTCAAATGCCTAATTATAAAATGTGGATGAACAATGTCATGACATTGGATGTGACCCTAAGAACTTCAATGAACAATTGGTTCAGCTTTTACTGTGCTTACAATCTTAGATTTTGCTGATGTGTTTTGAAATTGTGGTGGTGATGCAGACATGAAGTAGTGGATTATTTGTAGTAACAGTAGTTTTTGGAGCTTACCTTATGTGACCTGATTGAATGTTTTTGTTTCTAATACTGCCCATGGGCTACTCTTTCTATGCAAGCCTAATGCAGTACTCAAGCTGTAGGCAAATTTCATCAGTCAGTAATTCCTTGAAAATAGTACACCTAACCGAATAAGATAAATCTCTCACAATTCAAGAGGCTAGGCGAAACAAATACGCCCATAGGCAAACAAGCTACAAATAACTAAAACAAGGGAAGTGGGTAAGAAATTAGAAAAATAAAGCACATCCATCATCCAAACATACATGCCTCCACAAATCCATCCCGTGTATTTATTTTGTTCTTCTTATTGCAGGCGAAGCAACAGAGCTTCATCAGGCAGGAATCGCAATGTCCTTACATTTGGAGACCACTTTAGGCTCATTGATGCAGGGGATTGGGAGACTGAAATTTCGAGGGAGTGGTTAGCTGGATTCACCGACTCAATATCTCAAACAGACCAGCTGTTAGTGCCACGAGAAACAAGCAAGAGACCACCCGGACTGACTCAAGAGGCTCTGCACCGTTTGCAGCTGGAGGTTTTCAGCAAAGCCAAATATAGCAGCGAAGGTGAAATGTCGAGGGCATCACAGGAATGTAGTATTTGTCTGGAGAGTTTCATGGAGGGAGACGAGCTAATATGTTTGCCGTGTACGCATAGATTCCACTTGGGCTGCTTGGATCCTTGGGTTCGGACTTGTGGGGATTGCCCCTACTGTCGAAGAGTTATAGTTGCAACCAGTCATATAGAGTGATGATGAGCAAACATATTGATGACTTTATTGAGATTTTTCTTTATTGTATCTGGGGTTTGTTGAACATTATCTAAGTTTTGGGACTTGACCTGATAAGAGTTGATTTGTAATTTGACTTTCAACTTTGTCTTAATTTTGTTGTAAATCAGGACAAAGTTAAATTTAACTGTAAGCTAAGCTCTGTCATTTGTTGAATTCACTTGTGTTGTACCTTACTCTGCGAAACATGCCTCTGTCTCTGTGGGTGTGTACAAGCACCTATAAGAGTATAGGTACTTCAAAACAATTAGTGGTTTTAAGGTTGGGTTTGGTAGAATTTTAGAATTATGATTTGAGAATAGAGTTGTATTTTGAATTTGTGAGTTTTGAAATTATGATTTGAGTGTAGAAAATTTGTTTGGTTGTGAGTTTTAAAAAGGGTTTGAATTGAGTGATGTGGCATATAATGTTGAAAAGTGAGTGTTTTGAAAAGTGGGTGTGGAATTAATTTTCTAAAGGAAAATGAGTGGGAGCACTAATTAGTGCTACTACTAATGATGTGGCAGTAATTTTCACCATGAATGATTTGATGTTTTGGCCTTGGTATTGTATTTTTTTTCTTTTTTTATTGAGTGTCATGTCATTAGTGGTCTTTTTAGAGTTCCAAAATTAATGGTCTCTATCATTGTTATTTTCTAAAACTATAATCAAACAACATACTCAAACTAAGGAGTAGAATTAAACTTTAAAAACTCTACCAAACAGAATCTAAATTTTTCATTCAAATGCAAATACAAAAGTGATATTGTACACATAAGTTAATAACACCTTGTTGGTCATGAATTGCAATGGTCATCAAAATGTATTTTGTGAAATTCTTTCCGAACACATGGAATTCTGAACAAATTCAAAGAATAATAAAAGATTTATTTGAATTGTATTCCAATGACTTGCAATGTTGTTTTGTATTAAGAACAAAGTTTTTTTTGATAAATGAGTATTAAGAACAAAGTCTGTAGATCACAACTCATAAAAAGACTCAAACATTGTAAAAAATCATATATTTAAGCCTAAAGTTAATTTTTACAATATGACAATTCCTCTTTGTCATTTTAAAATTTTATTAATACTCCATTTAATGACCCTTTAATGCATAAGATCATGTGTCATGTATACTTGCTATTTATTTGTTTGTTTTTTAAAACAAAGTGAGTTTGTTAATTTTATTATTTTCATTTGTTAGCACCTAGGGGTGCAATTCGGGCGGGTTGGGAGGTTGTCCAATCTCAGTCCAAGTTGTGTTGAGACCTGTCCAGGCCCACTCAAGCCCGAATAGTAACCCAAGGTTGCATGTCCAAGTCCAACCTGAATTAAACTCAATTTGCCCTATTTGCTCGAATTGTAAATAAATTTCAATTATTTTATTATTTATTAAATTATTAAAATTTGACTCTATTTACATTTTTTTTTATATAGAAAATCATTAATATCATCAAAACAAATAATTTATATAATGTAAGATAGATGCTGCTATAGTAGTTCTTACAATTTATGAGTGAAAACAAAATAAAATAAAATAAAAAGAGTATGATTTTATGTTATTTGTATATATAATATGTATTCAATATGATTTAATAATCTAAATTACTTTAAGATCATGTAATGACTAAATTTCTTTATATATATTTAATATTTTTATATATCTATATATATATATATATAATTCGAGTTGCTCAGATTGTTCGATATCTTTGCCTAAGTCCGTCCAAATTTAATTCGGACTTCTGAATTTTTATCCAAACCTGAACCAAATTTAAAAATATCTTGTCTAAACCCTAAAAAAATTCAAGCTAAATTCGGATCGCGTGAGTTGAACCCGCCAAAGTTACCCCGTTAATAGCAATAGGGAAGGCTAATGGTTTATTTTACCATGGAAAGATGATGTCACGTTAATAGTTTCTATAAAAAAATTGACCTATAGACATCATGAACACCTAGATAACAACTAATTAAAATTTCAAAACTAACATACATCGATGTATGTATATATAGAGATAAATTATATATTTACAAACACATTCTCCATCATAATTTACACATTCACCATCATAATTTACAAAGCCCGTGACAATTTGTCTTTATCTCACTTGGATTTGAATTTTCAAAAATAATTTTTGAGTTTTCCATTCATACTTTCTTATTTTTAATAATTTTTTCTTAATATTTTGGTCAATTTTTTATTTTATTTTTAGAAGCATCTAATCTAGATGTGTTTAATTTAAAAATCAAAATATTTGTAAAGAAATATTTAAAAAATTCAATAAATACAAGAATAAATAAATATGAAAATGTACTGAAAGGAGGCAGATCACCTCCAGTTAGCATCACCTTTACCTCATGGAGGAGTCCAAAATGTGGTTTAAATTCAAAGTAGAGAAGTATCGCATTTACATAAACTTCAGTAACAAAACTTCATTAACTTGGTGAGAAGTAAAGCATTCATCAGTTGCACTAAAAACCCATCATCAGCTTTCAACCATGGGTTCAGGACCCGATAATTCTGCGTGAGGTCTGTTAATCTGCCGAACAGAGTTGAAAAGCGTATCCTTGATAACCTAAAATGTGTAGAAAAAGGCATTAAAGATGAACTAGAAAGACAAAATCAAACCAACATTTGTGTGCTTGAAGCAAATATTCAGGCCAGAAGATAAGAATCGCACCTGAGACATAAGACCATGGACCTGCTCAACAGTAATCTTTGCACTATCTCGTGTAATCTTTGCAAGTTGAGACTCTTCCTGCAAACCAACAAAGAAGTGGTTATCCAAATAACATTTCCAATACGCATCACGTACTATTCGCCTTTTATATACATATATATCCTGAAACTGCTTCGCACCTTGGAATAGAGAAAAACCAACTAATGTCGAGTAACTTACAAATTCAAAAGCAAAGTTGGAGCCGCAGATAGTTAACTATTGCTCGGTTTATCAAAATTTATGGCAGGAAAGCATAATGCAAGAATGGATCCAGGCAACAACAGACTAACGCAAGTAATTCCACATGTTAAAAAATAACTAGTAAACATCTTTTCAGATTAAAAAGCCATAGATTCATGAAAAAATGAAAGAAAAAAATCAGCATAAAAGAAGTTTACTTTCTTAGACATTTATAAGCAATTTCCGTCCTGCTATCCCAAGAACAGACACAAATAAAGCTACCATGCAAAATATTTTAATGCATAGAGACAATTCTTTCTGCAGGAAAATGGCCTTTATCATAACAAGCCTCTAGTCTTTAATGTCTGATGAAAAAGAAACCTCCTCAAGATAAAAAAAAAAAAATCTAAGGGTTGGGGGTCTTATTGATTGGCGCTGTTAAAAAAATGAATATTCATATTGACTATAGTCTAGAAATTGATGTTATTTGGAGGATATACTCTAGAACTTGAAAAAAGTAAAGATCCTAGCAACAAAACAGAGCTTTCAAAAAGAAAAGCGGAAAATCAAAAAGAACTAATGCAACGACCTATGAAGCATGGACACTCCAAAATTGATGCCGTAGCAGTGTCCGACACTTGTGTTGGTTTGTGTTTTTGTTTTTGTTTTTTTGTTTTTTTGTTTTTTTTTTGTTGTAAAATGATGATCGGGATGAGCCCCAATATGAATAAAATGAGTGTGGTAGCAGTTCGTCGTCTTCCTTGGTTTGTTGTTTTTTTTTTTTTTTTTAATAAGTTTTTTTTTTTTTTTTTTTTTTTTTTTTATAATAAGGAAAATGGATAGAAAAAGAAAGAGAGAATAAATAAAATAAAATAAAATAAAATAAAAATAGGAGTAGTGAAAATATATGATAATAAATATATATATATATATAGTTAAATAAAAGAAAAGGGGGAAAGAACGTGGGTGCACATGGGTGTGGTTTGATGATGCATTATTTTAAGATATATATATATATTAAAAAAAGAAATGTGAGATGGAAATTGGGTTGGTGTGCAAAGCTGGTGATGCGGTTTTGTTTTCAAAAAGATGGATTAAAATAAAAAAAAAAGAAAAGAAAGTAGAGACCATGATGAAAGGTGGGAACAAGTGTGCTGGTGCTGTGTTGTAATAGTCAAAAAGAGAGATAAGAAAATAAAAATAAAATAAGTTTCAAGGTGCTGTTGAGGGCTTGCTTGGATTGCTTCATTGAATTGCTTGTATAATTTCCATTCAGGCATTCGACTGTAGCTAGCTGCAGCAGAATTTTCTAGGTTTGATCTAATGGCTCTGGGACAACATTGATAACATCGATCCCAAATGGCCTAAGTTCCAATCTCAAGGAATCAGTTAGTGCATGCAGAGCAGCCTTAGATGCAGTGTAAGCACCTGCCCATGGTGGAGGGGCCAAAACAGAAACACTTCCCACAGTTACAATCTTACCCTTCTTTCTAGAGGCCATGTGAGGCACCACAGCTTGTATCAATCTCATGGTACCATAAACATTGGTATTGAAAGTAGCTTGAATTGCAGAAAGAGGGATCTCAGCAAGAGGTCCTACGAATTGGACCCCAGCATTGTTGACGAGGACATCGATGCGTCCAAACTCTTGAAGAACATTGGAGAGAACGTTTTGGACGCTCTCATCGGACAACACGTCGAGCTCTTGAAGGAAGAACCTTGAGTCCTCTTCCAGGTCCGCCATGGACGACCGAGACCGACTCGTCGCCACCACCACGCATTTCTCGGCGGCGAAGGCTCGTGCGAGCGCGTGGCATATGCCGCCAGTGGTACAGCCTGTGATGAGGACCACCTGTTTGTTGTAAGACGACTCCATGATCGAGAATAATAGAATGATAGAGATGATAGGGGAATAGGTTGGGATCCGGCGGACGGCTAAGGTGAGGTTGCCGCCCGCCGGTGAAGCTAAAATATTAGGTTCTAAACCTGCTCTGATACCATGTAAACAATATTGAAGTATATTATTGATTGATGTATTACAAGATTGATTAATTACAATTCCTATACAATCTATATATAGAAGAAAATGTGGTAGTAGGTGTAGTGGAGGTGATAGTGGGTTAGGTGAAGTGGAGTGTGTGGTGAAGTGGAGGTAGGTGAAGTGGAGTGTGTAGTGGAGTAGGTGAAGGTAAAGATGGGAAATTCTAACATTCCTCATCACTTGAGACTTTCAAGAAATACAACAATTTAGAACTAGTTCACACGCAAGCATATGATTTTAGATTTCAAGAGCAACATCATACAACTAGGATACAGGTTTGTATTTCATTATTATTGTTGTCGTCGTCGTCGCGTTACTACCGGGGCAAAAAAGAGAGAGAGAGAAAATCAATGTAATTGAAAATCTCAGCAATAATAATACAAATTGTAGTAGATAACATCATTCCAAAATTGAGATTATTATAAATCAAGCAAATTTCTTGAAATCAGTTTCTAACATACAACATTCACATGAAACAGAAAAATTCACCATCATTACAAACCAAGCAAAAAGAGAAAGAGTCACTCGAATCAGTATCTAAGCAAAACAACAAAAACAATATCACGAAGTACAATGCTCTACATAATTTGGAATTGAAATCTCCAATTCCAATTCCAAAAAAAAAAACTATTCCATCTCTTCTCAATCAAACTAGGGTTTTCACAATTCTTCAATTTTGACAGTAATTTAGGGTTAATTTCACATACCTGCTTATTAGTCGTCGAATAATCAACCATATACTCATACGCATCAGCCTGAGCATTAACCCTAGTCTCCGTCCCTTCAACAGGCAAAGCAAAAGCATCCATGACGATGATAGCGTCGCCATCAGTCTTCCCTTGCATGAGTCCCATGACCTCGATGGTTCCACCGGAGCGAGCATGGACGACCATCTTGAGGAGGGCTAGGGCAGAGATCTTGACTCGCTTGAAGTAGTGAGGGTCGTTGGACCATGGTTTCTCTTGCTGGAACTTGGTCTGAGCCGAATCGTCGTAGTAGAAGATGGCGTCGGACTCCGCAGACGCCGGAGTCTCCATGGTCACGATGTTGTTCTCCAGCTCCCATGTCTTCTGCGCCATCGCTGCCGATGAAGAGAACGAGTACGGATCCATGGCTCGAGCGAGTACCGAGTGAGTGAGTGATGGGGTGGGTTTATTGCTTCTTTTTGTGTAATGATTTGCTTTAGGGTTAGCACAAGGGCCGGGTTTGTTTGGGAGCCGGGATATGGAGTTCAATAATCTGTGAACACTTTTTTTTTTTTTTTTTTTTGAGTCAAAATTTTTTTTTTTTTAATTTCTGATCCTATGATTTTATAAAATTAAGCTCACATACAATATTTTTATAGTATTTGAAATCCGTCAACATTTTCATAAAGAAAATTTGAAATGGAAAAATTTCGTCCTGACACAGATAAATTTCAAAAGTTTATGTGACATGATTACAGAAAAATTTCGAAATTTCTCTAGTATGATCAAAAGAAAAAAAAAATTCATTAAGAAATCTTAACTAACAAAAAAAAATCATATTAAACCGTTCTTACTACAAAAAAATTGGAGAGGAATTTTCACTAATTTTCTCTTTTTTTTTCTTTTTAAATGCATATAATTTAAATTTACTTAAAATTTGTGAGAAAATTTGTAAAGAGTTTAATAAACGTATCCCTAGGCCCAACCTGTTAGCTAGTCTGGGCTAAGGGCATGGTCTGTCAAAAAAAGCCTGCTGGGCCTAAACCCGGGAGGCCCGAACAATAATTTTGTGGGCTTGCTGACAGGGGTTGACCCAAATATGCCCAGAAAATATATTAGGCTTTATTTGGAAAGTGAATTGACTTTTTAACTTTTTAGTTATTTTAGTATGGGATTAAAAAGTCTGGTTTAAAAAGAATTTTTGACTTTTTTTATTTTTTTTTGAGTGAAAGAATGTAATGATTATAAGTTGAATATGATATTTTGTCTTATTGAATTAAAAAATTTATTTTATTTTTTGTAATTATTTTAACCAAAAAAACCTCAAAAATCACTTTCCAAACATAGGCTTAGGAATCTCATCCATGTGCACAGGTGGTTACTCATCTACGGAAGACTACATTCCCATTCTGATAATCGGTGGAAGCAATTTAGGTTGGTTATAATTCAAGCTAGAATAGAATCTCTCTCATTCATGTGCACATTAGGTGATTGCTGCTCTAGGGAAGATTATGTTTCCTATTCCGATGGAACCAATTTAGGCATGTTATATTCGAGCCGTAACACAATATACATATATTTTAAAAAATATTAGGGCTCCAATTTATTTTTAAATAAAATTTTCATTCAAACCAAGCAAAACAATACAAACAAATCTAGGAATAATCATTCAGTAATTCCAAGGAGTATGGACACGTAATATTTTATTGTATTTGTTGGTATCATAAATCTGCAATTTTATTATTTATTATTTATATAATTGCAGGACATGTGATGAGTTATGAAATGTGAAAGATGATGGAGAATAAAGTGGAGAACATGGAGCATGAAATGGAGGTTGAAGGAAATTATGGAAGATCATGTAGTATGAAATGAAGGAGGTGGAAGAGTGGGTAGTTTTAAGTAGTTTTTTTCTACAAATGTTTTGCCTATAAATAGTCATTCATGGCTACATTGTAAAAGGCATATCCAAAACTCAAATCAAAGACAATTGATTTTTAATTTTCGTATCATTTATATTTCTTGTATTTTATTTTGCGTACTTCCTTTTCGAAACATTTATTTTCAGCACTTTCTTTTTCGAAACATTTTATGCACTTCCTTTTCAAAGCATATGAGTAGAGGTAAGTAATTGTTACTTTGATTGTTTACTCAATCACTTCGATTGTTCACGCAATCATCTTTCTCTGTCTCCCTCCTTCTTTTGTTAATTTTTCTTTTCTCTACATTTGGCAATTTTGAAGTCCTCTTCATTGAGGCAAAAGAACCGTCAACACAATCATTTGATAATTGGCTTGAATTTAATCTGTAAGGATTTTTTAATCCTCACTGGCATGCTCACATTTATAATATTTTCTTTCGTAGAAAAAATAAGCCACCAATTTTTGTCACGCCCGGGACCTCAAGTGTAAGAAATAAAAAATGAATTGGATTTGTCCATTTCAAATAGCCTAGATAAAATCTATTAGCGTAAATAAAAAATTTTAGATCTTCAAGAGGAGATCTATTTTCTTGATGAAATAAACTTTCATCCCTTACAATATTATTTGATGGAAGAAAAAAGATACCATTTAATTGGAGAAATTCATCAACTTACTATGAAAATTCGCCAATGGAATGATGAGTTATCAACTCTCATTACCAAGTCTTTAACTGAGGCTTTAATGGCCACAATTGGTGAATTTTTTTAGAATTTTTCCATAGTTAAAAATAGTAAAAGTAAAGAGTTGATTTCATCAATAGTTTTAGGGGTTCAAGAGGCTGTTTTCAAAGAGTCAAATTATGAAAGAGCATGTTTTTGAGCCAAATTTGGCTAACAATGATGTTCCATGCATGGCTCGAGGGGTCCAAAAACTAATTTTTAGAGAGTCAAGCCATGAAAATAACATATCTATGTATGATTTTCATAAGCCATTAATCGCTAACATGGAAAAGCAACCCACTTTGCCAAATAATTATGAAAATCAATTCAGCAAAAGTCATGTTTTTAAAACAAACATGGTCAAGAATAATGAACAATTCACTGTTTATGAATTCAAAATTTTTGACATTTTTCAAAGTGTCAAAAAGCATAAATTTTCATGGTCACACTATACCATGACTTTTGTTATTCGAAATTCATTTTGGATTTGTGGATCATATCAAACATTAACTTTGATAGAATGGCTAACAAATAATATTTCGTTATTGCAACATATTGGGCTAAAAATATGGTTATTAGTTGATCCATAAAACCATCACCATTTGGTTTTGTGGTTACCTTCGAAACATGGCCCAAGACACTTCGAAGCATGTTATTCATTAAAATACATTTTATAGCCATTAATGGCTAGTTAAAATGTCAAACTAATTTCATAGTAATCCAACTCTTTGAATATGGTTCGAAAAGATGTCGTGAGCACTTTCGAATAAGGACTTTGATCCTTTAGTAACATATGTGACTTTCGAAGGGTAATTTTGTCACCAATAAACATATTCAAAATGTAACACGGGATGAGAAAACTTTCAAAATGTGTACCTCCCTTCAAATATATTTAAAATGATAATTAATTAATTGTTGAATAATGCCTATTTTTGGCATGATAATTAGTGGCTTTACTGATAACCATTTTTTTATCCATTTGTTTCATGAAAATGTAACTAGTATTCTATAAAAGTTGGTTCGAAGAACAACGATTTTGGTGTCTTCGAAGAATTAATAATTGGTTCGAAGAACAAAATTAATATTTTCATTAATTATGTGTGAACCAGAACATACAAAATTTGAATAACCACAATGTTGGCCAAAAGTTGCTTCGAAGGCCCTTTTGCCATAATTTTGTAAGCTTCAAAGCACTCCATCTTGCATTAATAGTTTGGAAGAAATAATAATGGTGATTGTGAACCTTCGAAGCTTTGCCGAGTATTTCCAATGATGTAATTCGTCATTTGTCGGCACTATCGACCTTCAAAGGATGATTTTGGTCTTCTATACCACCTTCGAAGCTTGTTACTAGTCCATAATAGCTAGCATGTGTAACAGCTTGTTAAGGTGAATCATGTTTGAATATTGGCTTTGCCTTGAAAATATGAGGTTCTAAATGATTCTAAGTGCAAGTAATATCAACCTATTTCAAAAGGTTCCAAGTTTTCTAAGTGTTTAAAGTACGATTAAAATAAAATTGTTTAAATTTCCTTCAACGGATTGATGTCGATTCGAAGTACATATATAATATCCCTTCAAGACATATATATATATATATATATATATAATTCGAGACATCTAGTCATAATTTCACATTCATTCGAAGCACTTTGTTGGTGCTATTATATCATTCGAAACACTTTGTTGAAATTATTCGAAGTACGATATTGCTTAGATTAGTCATTGCTTGGTTCGGCCTTTCAAAAATTCAAGTAAACATCATTTTTAAGGGCCGCAGAGAGTAATGTTGACACCATAAATCTGTAATTTTTATTATTATTTATTATTTATATAATTGCAGGACATGTGGCATCCTCCTACTCATTTGGAGGTTATGAGAGTTATGAAATGTGAAAAGATGATGGAGAATAAAATGGAGAACATTGAGCATGAAGTGAAGGTTGAATGAAGTTATGGAAGATCATGTAATATGAAATGGAGTAAGTGGAAGAGTGGTTAGTTTTAGGTAGTTTTTTCTTACAAATGTTTGCCTATAAATAGCCATTCATGGCTATATTGTAAAAGACAGATCCAGAACTCAAATCAAAGACAATTGATTTCTATTTTTCTTGTCATTTATATTTCCTGCATTTTATTTTACGTACTTTCTTTTCGAAGCATTTATTTTCAGCACATCCTTTTCGAAGCATTTTATGCACTTCCTTTTCAAAGCATAGGAGTAGAGGTAAGTAATTGTTACTTTGATTGTTCACTCAATCGCCTCGATTGTTCACGCAATCATCTTTCTCTGTCTCCTTCCTTCTTCTGTTAATTTTTATTTTCTCTACACTTTGCAATTTTGAAGTCCCCTTCATTGAGGCAAAAAAATCGTCAACGCAATCGCTTGATAATTGCCTTGAATTTAATCTGTAAGGATTTTTCAATTCTTGCTGGCACGCTCACATTTATGATATTTTCCTTCGTAGGAAAAATAAGCCAATAATTTTTGGCAAAAATATATGTTAGCTTTTTTGACTTTTGAAGGTAAATAATGTAAATTTAAGAGTGCTAGCAAGGATCAATTAGTCCTTATAGAATTCATAATTGCCAACAACTTATCAAGCGATTGTGTTGAAGTTCTTTCAGTCTCAATGAAGAGGACTTTTACTGGTGACTTGTTTAGGAGAAGATTACGAATAATAACACGTAAATATAATTCAGGAATTGAATTTCATTAAGCAAATGAAAACTTACAATGAAGTTACAATGACCCAGCCTCGACGAGGTTCACAGCAACATACTACTGAAAAACTACTCCTAGGAAATGAAGTACAGTACAGGAATTGAAGTACTGGAAATATAAAGAACTGGAAATGTAAAACTGGAAAGAAAATGAATTAATAAACTGGTTTTTGGATTT